AGAGGGACCTGTCCTGTTTACTGCATTAACTGCACAAGGAAAGCCGGTCTACGGTGCCTACATAGCATGCTGGTCAAGCACGTGTGCTCTGGAATAAGAGGACACAGCAGGGGTTCACAGCAGGTTCTGCCACTTACTAGTACTCTGGCCTTAGGTAATCATGTAACCTTCCCTTCCTCCAACTCCCAGGTTGTAAAATAGGAATAAGAAGACAGTTTACCATAAATGGTTGCTGCACCAGACTAGATGTGGAGTCTCACGAATTCCTTCTCCAATCAGCAACGAGTGCAATCTTCAAAAAATTCCACCACCTGGGCCCTCCCTGGTGCTACAATGGGTTAAAGCACAGTACTGTGCCTTTTTTTTTTTTTAAGATTTATTTATTTGTGCATACAGAACTGGGGTACAGGCCAGAGTGTGGGGAATGAGAAGATTCACCACAGTCAGAGTGGGGAGCAGATCAGGCAGATCAACAAAGTACACTGGTGAGGGGAGCAGCGGGCGAGACGGGAGGGGTCTGCCGTGCATGTGGATCACCTCCGGGGCTGGGGACCCAACTTGGAGCAAAGCTTCTGTGGCCATTTTCACAGGGCTGCACTTTAACCTGTTGCTCCACCAGGAAGGGCCCAATAAATAAATCTTAAAAAAAATTCTGCCTTCAGGGATGAGGGCCTCTCAGAAGACTGAGGAGGCTTCCTCTGCACAGTCTGGAGCCACAAGCAGACAGACAACCTGTGTGTAGGTTTTGTGAAACAGTCAATTACCTTCATCGAGTCCTCCTGCTGTTTGATGCAGCACAACTCTGGCGTCAAAGGTGGGAGGGTCTATACTTCATTCTTGATTATGAGCAGGGAAGCGTCCCTGAGGGCTCATTCCCAACTAGAGTTATGAATGTTCTCTCTTCATCCTGCATCCCCAGATGCCTTTCTGGTTCTCACATGTGGTATAATGCATTTGTTTTCTGATTCCTTAAATCATTAATAACAGGACAGTCACGGCCTGAATCAACTCCAGTATTAGTGCTAGCTATCTAGTTCTTCATGAATTATGACTTCTTGACACCCCAGGGGCTCACCCCCATGAAGTGAGATCACATAAGAGAGCCTGGCACAGAGAGCAGCAGCACATGTGTGCTCTGAGCTCAGGTTCCGGCCCTCCATGTAGGGCTTGAATTCTGTTTCCACCTCCTCCCTTTCCCTCTGGAATTCTATTTCTGCTCTTTTATTTTTTTAGATTTTATTTTTATCTATGCATACAAGATCTGGGGTACAGGCCAGAGGTGTGGGGGATGAGAGGATTCACGAGAGACAAAATGGGTAGCAGACAGGCAGATCTACTGAAACCCAACACTGAAGGGAGCAGCGGGAGGGTCAGGAGAGGTCTGCTGCGCCATGTGGGTCAGCTCCCGGGTGAGGATGGAACTCGTGTTGCAGTGGCTGTGGATAGCTTCATAATGCTGTGTTTTAATCCCTGTACCATCTGGGAGGCCTGAAAACACTTTTTCATACAAGAATAGAAATAGGGCCTCCCTAGTGGCCCAGCAGTTAAAATTTCAGCGCTATCAAAATATCACCAGCCACTGCAGTGTGAGTTTGATCCCCAGCCAGGGAGCTCACCCACATGGCACAGGAGACCTCTCCTGCCTCGCCTGCTACTCCCCTCAGCAGTGGATTTCAGTAGATCTGCCCGGTCTGCTCCCCACTAAGTGAATCCTGTCATCCCTACCCCCCACCTCCACCCCCTGCACCTCTGGCCTACATGTTCTTGTATGCATAAATAAATAAAATAAATCTTTAAAAGCTGAAAATACCTTTTAGACCCATAGGCCATCTTTATGCAGATCTGTTTCATGTATTTTCCCACAGGCCTGAACATGAAAGTCTTCCACTTTCCCTCTAGTATGACCCTCTGTTAGATACATCACTAGACCAAATTAATCTTTAAAAGCTGAAAATACCTTTTAGACCCATAGGCCATCTTTATGCAGATCTGTTTCATGTTTTTTCCCACAGGCCTGAACATGAAAGTCTTCCACTTTCCCTCTAGTATGACCCTCTGTTAGATACATCACTAGACCAAATTCATCCTCCTCTGACTCCCTCTGGTCATTATCATTATTGTCATAGTTTCTTAGGTGTAAAATTTTGTCATCCATAGCTATAAAAAACAAACCACCAACCAAACAGCTGACACTTATTATTTACTATGTGCCAGACACAGTGTTAAATTTTTATTGAATTACTTTATATAACCTTCACAACAATCCTATGACATTCTATTATTATTCCCATTTAGCAAATGTAGAAACTGAGATTACATGATGTCAAATAACTTGTCCAATCCTGTAACTAATAAGCAGCTGAGCCAAGAACCACCACCACATCTGAAAACAGACCCATGCATTTTTGTTGTGATATAATTCCTATCTACCCCTTGTTAATTATATATAATCCATTCCCAAATTGTGTCAGCTGAAGAATACTATCATAAATATTCTTTTTCACATTTTAATTCAGAAGAGCTGATACCCTTATACCTTGATTTTGGGGATGTCAGCATCCCCTAATGGGGCTACTTGTTTCCACTTTTTGCCCGTTCAATGTTCTCCAGGTCATGGCTTGATTCACACTCTCTAAAGCATAGGTCTCCTATGCATCAGTATAATCTTGAATAAACTGGCTCACTCTTTCATCTGATTGTAAAGTGAGTGAATTAGATGATCTCAACAGTTTTTTTTTTTTAAGTTTTAAGATGTTTCTCAGATCACTGTCCTATCCCCAAAGCTTCATGTTCTATTTCTGAACATTTCACTAATCCTTACTTAGGTATATGATTTTAATGATTTACATATAGGATATTATACATACATGTTATGCATACATAATAGGATATCCCATTATGTATATGGAATATAATCCATTTGCTTAATTGTCATCCTCGCCTTTCAAGATTTATAGACAGGGAAAGCTATGGGAACAGGTACCTATTTTGTCTCATTCATAGCCATTTTCCCAGTATTTAGACACAAACCTGACACAAATGTGACAACCAATACATACCTGGAGAAGAATGACCACAATAAGCAAGGGACCCATCTCCCCACCATCCAGAAGAAGACCACCAGATTGGTGATGTCTTGAATGCTGATCAATGAAGCTTAGATCTAGGAGTTAATAAAAAACTACTGAATCTTTGAAAATAGGACAGTGACCTGAGAAATGTCTTAAAATTCTAGAATTTAAAGCTAAAAGTAACCCTAATTAGCACATGGAACAGTTCCCTCTCCAGAAATCCTTGTAAGGGATTTCAGCCTCTGCTTGAAATCTCCAAGACTAGAATTCACTATCTCATACATCAGATCACTGGTCTTCCACCCTCCTTGTGCTAAAAAACTAAACCGAAACAAAAACTGCTTACCAACTATATTCACCTCTCACCCAAATAAAAATAGGAATAAGGTTTAGCAAAGTACACTAATAATATCAACTACTGTATAAAGAAAAAGTGTAGCTTGCTGTGATTATATAGGAGGAAGGATTGTTTAGAGGAAGCAGGATTTGTATACACAGAACAAAGATGGTCAGTAGATAAGTCATTAGGTATTAGAAAATCAAGGAAATGATCAAGAGCAAAGGATAAAAGTAGGGGAGAGTGGACACTGTTTGAGAAACATTAGTTTCAGGTGTGCCACATAAGGACTTGATATCCTATGTATTGCTCAATAGTCACAGTAATTCTAGTTAACATCCATTAGCAATACAGTTATACTTGTATGATGAGACTTTTTTTAAAAACATCTATTTATTTATGCATACAGAACTGGAGTACAAGCCAGCGGTGTGGTGGGTGAGAGGATTCACCAGAGACAAAATGGGGAGCAGAACAGGCCGACTGACAAAGTACACTGCTGAGGGGAGGAGCAGGCGGGTCAGGAGAGGTCTGCTGTGCCATGTGGGTCAGCTCCCTGGCAGGGGGATGGAACTGGTGCTGCAGAGGCTTAGAGCTCCATAATGCAGTGCTTTAACCCATTGCGCCACCAGGGAGAGCCCTGATGAGACTTTTTAAGATCTACTCTCAACTTTCAAATATAGCCCTTGAGATTTTTTTTAAGTGTTTTTAATGCTTTATATTTTTACACTTTATATCTAACTCTATGATCCATTTTGAGTGGATTATTTAAAGTGAGAGTTTAAATACGTAGTGGTTCTTCTTTTCCCTATTCAATTCCAAATTCCCCAAGCACCTTACCTCCATCTAGTCCTCATAAAAAAGTCAGGATATTTTTAAAAATGTGTATCAGATTATGTATGAATGCTCTGTGCTCAACCTCCTGCTGTGACTTCCTACTACAACATATTTTGGCCCCTTTACAATGCATTTTCTACACTCTACGTCTGTCCATTATACTTAGACCTCAGCTAACCCAGTGGACTTGCTCGCTTACTTTAACAGCATTGTCACTTTTTCAGAAAGCCAACTTTTTAAAGTCGTTGACTTCCAATCTTTCCCCCTTGCCCTGTTTTTTTTTTTCTTTACAACACTTACATAATGCGACATATCAATCATTATATGTTTATTGTTTGCCCCAAGCCGACCAGAAGCTGCAAGGGAGTTTACTGCTAGATCGCCAGCGCCTGGAATAGCGCGGGGCACACAGTAGGCACTCAATAATTTATAGCTGAAGGCTGGAAGGAATGAGTAAGTGTGAAGCGGGAGGGACGTGCTCACTTACTTCTAGGTCAGGCCCTGGCTCAGATTTCATACAAAGTGTGAGCGCCACCTCTCGGGAAGCTAATTTACTTGCAATCCAAGGAAATGAGTCACAAGACTCTTTAAAGAAAAATAAATAAAAAAAAAGGCGGCCGACCGGAAGAGTATGGAAGGCAGTGCCGGAAGCTGAACGTTGGAAAGTTGCTCCCGGAATGACTCCCGATTCACGGGAGGAAGCGTGGGCGAGTGGTGTTCTGCAAAAAGGGCTCTCCGGCAGCCAACCCGGGAAAAAACGTTCCGTGAATGCGGATGACAGGAACCACGTGGGGGCTCCGGCGGTTTCCGGTGCCTGTGGCAGCAGACTGAGTTCGAGCCCTAGCAGCTGGAGGGGTAAGAAGGTTCTGAGAAGAAAGGGTGAGGAGTGGGGCTTGGGGACGGACCAAGTTAAGGAGGCTGATGAGTTTCTTTCTGAGAGCTGCCGAGGTGGGATGGACACGAAGGCAGGGCGGGGCGCGCTCCCGACAGGTGCAAACCTGTCGGCGCACGTCCCACGCCACGTGGACTTGCCTTTGTCCGTGATTGTCTTTCCCACCAGGCCGCGACGAAGGGGCTTGTGCCTTTTGTGTCTCGGTCGCGTGCAGTTGCGCTCAGTAAGTGTTTGCTGAATGAATGACATTTGTGTGTGTCCGGTGGGTGTGGAAGGACATTCATAGGCGCTGTTTCTGGCTCTTTTGACCCATTTTATCCTGGGAAATCATGCTTGTCCCGACCTTTCAGTGGGAGTTCTCCTGCAGTCCTTGGGCTTTTGTCTCTTTCTTGGAGGAAGGCTGAATGATTATTATCATTTATGACATTGCTTTGCGCCCATTGAAAGATCTACTCTGGGGCTAATCATCAGGGACAGAGGAGCAAACCATCCCTTTATGCGGACCACAGACTAGTGGTGAGACAGATGCACACAAAATCCAAATGTACCATTAATGTGCTATAATAAGTGGTTAATGAAAGGACAAGATCAAGTGAGGAGGTGGTGCTGCTATTCACCTTAGGAACTGTTTTTCAAGGTGAGGGACCTGGTTCATTTTCATCTTGTGGAGACAGGGCAGGTCATGAGCTCAGTCTCTTTAGACTGGGGAAAGGTCCTGATGCTCTGCAGGCTTGGCTTTCAGCATGATGTCCAAAGTCATACTCTCAGCATGCCTCTGGTTCTCTCCGCATCCATCTTTTGTTGACTAGTCAGAATATGCATGACTTATTATGAGTTAGCATAAATGGCAGAGGATTGAGAAAGCTGGATTTAGTCCTCATTTCTGTGCTCTAGATCTATTCATTTGTAAAATAAGGGCAATTGTAAGTGAAATAGTCTATAAATAGCTTCCAGTTCAAACACTATGACTATGGCAGTAGGTAAACCATATTTCATTCTGCTTTGTACCAGATGTCACTTTCACATTGTCAGTGTAGTTTTCCTCATCTGGATAAAGGAAGATAGAATATTCAATAGATACTTAGTAGCTTACTAAGTAAAGAGGGATAGAAATGATAGCCCCTGCTCTTGGATCTTTCCCTAGTCTGGGCTATTCATAGAGGAGGGGGCTTGAGCAGGAGTTGGGTTTTTACTAAAGAGACTCGGAGTTGACCTGACATATTTAAATCAGCTTTATGGGGTAATGCGCTTGAGGCGGATAATGCCGTGGGCAGGATACTCAGTGCTCTTATTCCCTCATCCGTGTACCCGCAGGACCATGGCCAACAGTGAGCGCACCTTCATCGCCATCAAGCCGGATGGGGTCCAGCGGGGCCTTGTAGGGGAGATCATTAAGCGTTTTGAACAGAAGGGATTCCGGCTTGTTGCTATGAAATTCATACAGGTGAGTGGATTTGATTCTTCCTATTTCTATTATTTTTTTCATACAGAGGAACATTGCTTCTCTCAGTCTTCCAACCCCCTTTTTAGCCTTCTTTATATAGGGTGTCACAGCAAATGTCCTGAAACCTGGAAACCTCTCCTTAGTAACTTTGTGCTGCATCTCAGCACAAAACAAGTTGGGCACTTTCAAAAATTGTTTCCCTTTTCCCTTAACAATGCTGGGTCCAATACTGTTGCAGCATTGTTACTTTTGACTCAAAGCCCTGGGCATGTTTGAGTTGATCTTGAGCTTCCTGAGCAGATAATTTGAGAAAAGACCTTCCCTCCCCCTTGAGCCAGGTTTTTCAGCAAGGAAATCACTCCATCATCATTTACCACCCACTTAGTTTCCAGCACATGTTAGGTATCATGTAGGGGAAAACTGATTTTGTCCATGGGGTCCACCCGAAGCAACACAGCAGAGAACTGATACACTTGCAAGACACATTGAAAGAGACAGTGAAAAGAACATTAAAAAGTTGGACTGGTGAAGAATCCTTCCTCAAACAGGTCTGAGGAATGCAAATTCAGAATCTCAAAGCAAGTGAATTTGGGGATGTTCATTTTTTTTTCTTCTTAAAAGAACCTAGTTTGGATTCTCCTGGTACATTTTCAACTCAATTTGATTTTTGACTTAGTTGAAATGTGATGATTCAGACAAACTGCCTTAATATGAAAGGGAGTAGATGGCTGTTAATGTGGAGGGGAAGCGTGATGGAGCTGAGCAAGTGTTGGGCCAGCACTGCTCTCCAGGTCGCTTTTTGAAGGCAAAGTAAAATGAAAGTGTTAGTGATCTGGAGTTTATATCATGTGCCAGACCTATTTTCTCCTCCACGTGGCAGCCCTGAGAGATACTTTGTCAATTGTTCACTTCAGAGAGGCTTGAGAGGTTCAGCAGAGTACTTGCACCCATCTATAGTGATGCAGCTGGGATTTTAGTGTGGGTCTCGCTGACCCCTGTGTGCATGCATTTTCTCCTTTACCTTGACTTTCCTGTCAAGGACATGGGCTTGGTGACTATTGGGAGGAGGGCCAGCTGTCATGAATCTAGAGGGTCATTTAAATGGACGGAGAAGGAAGGGAGGGTCACTTGAGGGGAAGAAAAGACTGATCTGTCTTGCAGACTAAAGGTGGTCAGAACACAGAGAGTGTTGTGGTCAGGGAAGGCCAAGCCAGGGTGTGTTAGGAGGCCCCCCTCCAAGCCCTGCATGTGGATCCAGTGGGGGGGGTGAGGGTGAATTGTTGACGCAGCATCACGTGCTATGTGAGGTTGCGTTGGCCGTGACCACACCAAGCGCCGAGGTTAGATGCTCGGATGTGCTTCTCTGCACGCAGCCTCCACATGTGTGCCACTGAAGGGGCAGTGTGCCTTGTGCCACTCAGTGCCATGGAGCTGAGAAAACTGAGGGACCTTATTGGACCCCTCCCTAGCAGCTTGCCCTGGCAAAGGGAGAGCACAGCTGAGTCGATAGGAACTGCAGAGCACATGGTTTGCTCTCTAGCTAACTTGATCTGTACCCTCACAGCAGCTGGGCAGTGTGAGAGACCCATTCATTCTTCAGCAGAATTATTTATTGTGGGGTGGCATGGACTTGTGGCTGGTTTGCAGATGCCTTGGGAATTGCATGGCCACCACAGCAGGCCTTTATCTCTTGAACAAATGTGAATACATATCCGTGAGAAGTGACCTGCGTTAGGTGTGCTTCTTCCCAAATGCTGAGACCACCTCCCCACTACTCTCTGACATTTCAGTTGGGCCTGCTCTGGGGGTGCAGATTCACCATACCGGTAGTTTTCCTTTCTAAAACGAGATGGCTGGGTTCAAGTCCAGTGTTCCGACCTGTAAGACCCATAGGGCGACAATGGGAATGAAGTGGAGATACTTTTAGTTCTTGTCGCTGCTCCCTCTGATAGTGTTGACAAGTCAGTTGGTGACAACAGAGTCGCTGAGTTCCGAGCTCAGTTGTACACAGAGGGATGGTTGTGTGTGAGATGACTGCATGATGGTTCTCATTCCCTCTCCTGTGGACTAGGCTTCTGAAGACCTTCTCAAGGAACACTACATTGACCTGAAGGACCGTCCATTCTTTGCTGGCCTGGTGAAATACATGCACTCAGGGCCAGTGGTTGCCATGGTAAGTGTGGTTGTGTGGGACAGTGACATGAATGACTCAGTTGGGAGTGGAGGGCGAGTGTTGTGATTCCTGTTTCTGAACAGGCTCTCGCTGATACAGAGGGTGTGGGGAGGTATAGACGAGCCGAGGATACATATACTTGATGAACTGAAGACCATAGGTGGGAGAGAGCTGATGTGTGTGTGTGTGTGTGTGTGTGTGTGTGTGTGTGTGTGTGTGTGTGTGTGTGTGTGTGTG